TGGAATAGAATAGAGTCCCAAAATAAACTCTCAGATACATGGTCAAATGATCTTCGACAATGGGGAAAACAGTCTCTTCAACATGTGGGAAGACTGAATACCACATGCAAAAGAATGAAGTTGGACCCTTACCTTACAGTATACTTGAAAATCAATTCAAGATTGACTAAAAACCAAAATATAAGGCTTAAAATGATTTAAAAAAAAAAAAAACACTATGAGAAAACTTCATTGGATTTGGCAATGATTTCTGAAAGTGTGCACTTATTATGTAAGCAGGACAACTAAATAACTAGTCATTTAATATTATATAAAGCAGTGTCATGAAATATTACCCCCAAATGCTTAGTCCATCCCAGTTCCTGCCTTACTATTCCTGCATCAAATCAAAAGATTGAACACAATCATTGGAGTCACAATTTCAGAAAAGAGCATTTGCAGGAAGATTCCTTTAGCTACTACTTTGGAGACAGAAAGCCACCTGATGTCCATTTTCAGTGCTCCCTTTTTTATTTTATTTTATTTTTTTTTAATTTTTAAAATTTATTTTTTTATTATTTATTTATTTTATTGATTAATTTTTGTTACAGATGTTTCTCCTTTTTCCCCCACTGATTCCCCCCTCCCCCTCCCTCCCTGCCCCTTCCCCAGATTGTTGTCCATGTCCACTGTTCATGCATACATGCATATAAGTTCTGTGGTTCATCCCTCCCCCACCTCCCCCCTCTTTAGGGGACTGTCAGTCTGTACCCCGCTTCCGCGTCTCTGGGACTACCCCATTCCTCAAACTGTTATGTTCATTATATTCCACAAATAAGTGAGATCATATGAAACTTGTCTTTCTCTGTTTGGCTTGTTTCACTTAAGATGATACTTTCAAGGTCCCTCCATGTAGTCTCAAAGGATAAGAGATCTTTCTTTCTTACACCTGCATAGTACTCCATTGTGTATATGTACCACAGCTTTTTGATCCATTCATCTACTGATGGACACTTGGGCTGTTTCCAGATCTTAGCAATTGTAAATAGTGCTGCTACAAAGATGGGGTACATATATTCTTTCTGATTGGTGTTTTATGCTTATTAGGGTATATTCCTAGAAGTGGGATCACTGGGTCAAATGGAAGTTCAATTTTTAATTTTTTGAGGTGACACCATATTGTTTTCCATAGCGGCTGCACCAGTCTGCATTCCCACCAGCAGTGTACTAGAGTCCCCTTTTCTCCACACCCTCGCCAACACTTGTTGTTTGATGATTTGTTGATGGCGGCCATTCTGACAGGTGTGAGGTGATACCTCATTGTTGTTTTGATTTGCATCTCTCTGATGATTAGTGATGATGAGCATTTCTTCATATGTTTCTTAGCCATTTGTATGTCCTGTTTGGAAAGGTATCTATTTAGTTCCTCTGCCCATTTTTTAATTGGGTTCTTTGTCTTCCTTTTGTGGAGTTGTATGAGCACTCTATATGTATTGGAAATTAACCCCTTATCTGATATATCATTGGCAATTATGCTCTCCCATACAGTGGGTAGCCTTTCCGTTTTGATGTTAGTGCTCCCTTTTTTAAAGTGTACATTTCACCAAAGCAAACATAAGGCATTGAAGATCAAGGTTTCGTTCTTTCTGCTGCATTTAGAGTTCAAACCTATGCACTCTAGATCAACTGTTTCCCCTGCTACAAGTGCCATAAGCAATAACTACCCAGCTGCTTAGGTAATTGTGTCCAACTGTAATGAGGTTGTCCATTCCTTCTAATCCCACGAACTTCAGTCCTTTGGGTTCCCCATCACCTAGTTTACATGCTATCTCCTCCGTAAATTCCTCCCCCAGCCACTGGGGCCAGAGGGAGATTGAGTGCTTTCTTCTGAATGCATGCTGCACTTACTGTGTGTGCCTTCAAAAGGATAGCAGTGATGACCCACTCACTGCCTTTTGAGAAGGCTGATCCTGTGTGTTCTCCTTTGTCTCTAATAGTGTGAAAACTACTAGAGAGCAAGGCTATGCCTTACATACTTCTGTAGCACCAAGTAGCATAAGAATGTTAAAAGGAAGCTTATGATTCATATGAATGTTTTCAGAAAAGAAGCCAAAGTAGCCTTGACCCATTTGGCTCAGCATTTAGAGCATCAGCCTGTGGTCCAGGGAGACCCAGGTTCAGTTCCCACTAAGGGCACGTACTGTACCTCCGTTGCGGTTTGTCCCTGGCCCTGGTTGGGTCGTGCAGGCAGCAGCCACTCAATGTGTCCCTTTCACGTCAATGTTTCTCTCTCTCTCTCTCTCCCCCTCCCTCCCTCCCTCCCTCTCTATCTGAACAAAAAGTGGAGAAATGTCCTCAAGTGAGGATTAAAAAAAAAGAAGCCAAAGTAAATTGTGCACTATACTATAAACCCCTTAATCCATATTACTGCGTTATGTGTGAAGCTTAAAGAACACTCCCAGAGTTTAGACAACAGGTGTAATTTAGACAATCTGCTCTACCCAGCTATTACTTATTTGTGACAGTTCCCTCCTGGCTTCTGCTACCTGTTGATCTGTAGGATTAGAGCATTTTCCAGTATGATTTTCTAATTTATTCCCTACCCAAATCATAAGAGTTTTAATTTCCCTTTTAGATGACAGTAAAAAAGGCAGACACTTAAAAATAACCAGTGATATCCCTGGGGTTTTCCATTGCTATAAAACTCAAAAAAACAATCCTGGAATAAAGCACTATTTATAAATGTTGCTATAAAATTCATTTATTAGTCCACAGATTTTTTTCCTTTTGGCAGTTTTTCCTATACAGTCATCCTTGACTAAATACTATTCAGTATGCCTTCTGTTTGGACTTGTGTTTCACAAAAAGATTTTAAAATCAGCTGCCTATGAGCTAACAGTTAGCCATGTATAGAATAAGATGAAGTAATGATGCAATGAGTGTTGAAACTATGGGTAAATGCATGGCACAAGGAGTGCTGAGGGCAGCAGCAAAAGTCCAAAAGTCAGAAAAAAATGAAAATTCATGAACCTGGTGATGCTCCAGAGAGGAAACCAGCAAGTATTGGCGCTAAACTGGCAGAAACATCAATACTTCCTGGCTCCCCCACTGGGTGCATCAATTTACCACCAGCAGGCTGCTCTTCTGCTGCAAGTGACAAACATAAATGTGTGCAATACCCTAAAAAGGAATGCCAGAATCATGGCGATGTGCAGCAATGAAAAGAAGGCAGTGACTGCTGAAATTCTCAATCTCAGCTTTGCTGATTAGCTTAATGACCACGGGCAAGTAATTCCCCTCAATGAATAATACCAGTGTTTCATAAGATTAGTGTGTAGGACAGAGTTAACATAACAGGCCTGAGACAGCTATTCTTTTTTTTTTTTTTAAATCCTCACCCAAGGATATTTTTCTATTTATCTTCAGATAGAGTGGGAGAGAGGGAGAGAGGGAGAAAAATACACATGAGAGGGATACACCGACAGGCTGCCTCCCACACAACCTCAGCCAGGTCCAGGGACGAACTGCAACAGAGGTACATGCCCTTAACTGGAATCAAACCCACTTCTCATTGGTCCGCGAGCTGGCACTCTAACCGCTAAGCTAAACCAGCCAGGACACAAACAGCTATTCTTTTTTTTTTCCCTCACCCGAGGACATTTTTCCACTTTTTGTTCAGACAGAGTGGGAGGGAGAGAGAGGAAGAGCGAGAGAGAAACATCGCCATGAGAGGGACACATCAAGTGGTTGTCATCTGCACAACCAACCAGGGCTGGGGACAAACTGCAACCGAGGTAGGCGCCCTTAGCAGGAACCAAACCCAGGTCTCTCTGGACAGCAGGCCGATGCTCTAATCGCTGAGCCAAACCAGCCAGGACAGAAACAGCTATTCTTAAAAAGCCCTGCTTGCAAGGTTGATACCCAACTGGTGCCTGAGGACTTGGATTTTGGAAAGGTGACTAACACCCTAACTGATAAGAGTAGCTCAGTGTGCATAAACTGTTTGTGCAAACAATATGAGTTATGCTAAATACCTATTTTCCTTACTAATGTCTAGAATTTTGACACATACCAGGCATTGGGTGTCTATGTAACCAGCTCCCAGTAAAAACTCTGGGCACTGAGGCTCTCTCTGATTAGCTTCCTTGGTAGACAGCATGTCACACAAAGTATCACAACTCATTACAGGAGAAATTAAAAACAACCAGTATGACTGTAGTGGGACAGGACTGTTGGAAGCTGTGCCTGATTTGCTCTCAATTTGGCCCCAATGTGCCTTTTCCCTTTGTGAACTTTGCTTTCTATCCTTTTGCTGTAATAAGTCCTAACTATGAGTGTAACTATAATGCTGAGTCCTGTGAATGCTGCCAGTAAATCATTTAACCTGATAATGGTTTGCGGGACTTCTGACACACTTGGTAGTGTTGAACAGTCTACCAAATATCTTTCCAACAACCTTGTGAAGCAGGTATTATTATGTTCATTCTACAGGTAAAGAAAGTAAAGTTCAGAGAGGTGTACAGTATACACAGAAAATAAATATTGCAGTATTTATTATATATGGGCATTCTCAAACTTTAGTGAACCACAGAACCATCTGGAATGCTTGATAAAAATGCAGTTTCCTGGGACCTACCACATGAAATTGGAATTGAGTAGGCACGAGGCCCAGGAACCTGTATTTATAATAAACATCCCAAATGATTCTTATGCAATGAGTCCAAGAACCACATTTTGAGACACACTTTGATATATATGAACTACATTGCCCAGTTTCCCAAGCTGGGTAATAAATAATAGAACTAGGATTTGCATTCACCCTTTTTAACAAGGTTGAGGCTCTTTTCACAATAAAACTGCTTCCAAATATCTCAATATCATCAGTTCCTCTGGTTTTCTCTGCCTTCTCCCCACTGGTATCTACCCAGCTGATGGAAATGGGGTGGAAAGAAAGGAAAGTATCTTAAATTCCAAGCATCAAATACTAAATGGTATCCTGAATCCAAATAATGCACACTTACCTTGGAAAATCAAAAGATGTACTCTTGGAGAGTTAACCTGGCAGTTTTGGTTTTCAACAAAGATTTGATGTGCTGGTGGCAACAGAAAATACTAGCTTATGCATAGATTTAATAAAAATAATATGAATTAACTTACAATTTTAGAAGTTGAAGACAGTATGTTAATTATAGTTTTCTATGAATGACCAATAAAGGGGAGGATGCTGAAGATTATTTAGTACCAGGGATGGACGGACAGCCTTACCACCAGAAGTCAGGTCTGGGAACTGTGGTATTTGCCGGGGAGGGACATAATACCAAAGGTAAAGGTAACAATCCAACAAGAGAATGTAATCCTAGTAAACATATATGCATCCAATATAGGAGCACCAAAATATATGAAAAAGCTCTTGGAGGACATTAAGAGAAAGATAGACAGCAATATAGTCATAGCAGGGAACGATGTCACTGGATAGATTCTCTAAACAACAAATCAACAAGGAAACAACAACCTTAAATGACACACTAGAAGAGATAGATTTAATTGACATTTACAGAAAATTTCATCCCAAAGCTAAAGAATATACATTCTTCTCAAGTGCACATGGGACATTATCAAAAACTTACCACATGTTAGGACATAAACTAAGTCTCCACAAGTTCAATAAGATTGAAATACCTCAACCATCTTCACAGATCACAATGGCATGAAACTAGAAATCAACTACAATAAAAAAATGAAGCCCCGCAGATGTGGCTCACTGGACTGAGCATCGATCCATGGACTGAGTGGTCCTGGTTTGATTCCCGTCAGAGAACATGCCCAGGTTGTGGGCTCGATCTCCAGTGGGGGCATACAGGAGGCAGTCAATCGATATTGCTCTCTCATATTGATGTTTCTATCTCTCCTTTCCTTTCTCTATTAAAAAATCAATAAAAACATATTAAAAAATTTTTTAAACTCGAAAACATTCCAACACATGGAGACTAAATAGCATGTTATTAAACAACAAATGGGTTACCAATGAGATCAAGGAAAAAATAAAAAACTTTCTGAAACAAATGAAAATGAACACAAAAAACCCAATCTATGAGACACAATAAAAGCAGTCCCAAGAGGGAAGTTCATAGCATCACAGGACTACCTCAAGAGAACAAGAAAAAACTAAAAAAAAAACAAAAAAAAAAAACAATCTAATCCTACAACTAAAAGACTAGAAAGAGAACAATAAGAAAAGCCCAGAGTAACTAGAGGGAAGGAAATCATAAACATCAGAGAGGAAATAAGGGACATAGAAACTAAAAAAACAAACAAACAAACAAACAAACAAAAAACAATAAAAAATATCTAAAAAACCAAGAGGTGGTTCTCTGAAAAAATAAACAAGATTGATAAACCTTTAGTGAGACTCATCAAGAAACAAAGAGGACGGAATTAAATAACATCAGAAATGAAAGAGGCAAAGTAACAACTGACACCACAGAAATACAAATGATTATACGAAAATACTATGAACAATTAATTACATCCCAATAAATTGGAGAACCTTGGCAAAACTGACAAATTCCTAGAAACATACAATCTTCAGAAACTCAATGAGGAAGAATCAGAAAAGCTGAATAGACTGATAACAACTAATGAAATTGAAGCAATAATAAAAATAAAAATAAAAAACTCCCAGCAAACAAAAGTCCTGGATTGGATGTCTTCACAGCGGAATTTTACCAAACACTCAAGAAGAACTAACACCTGTCCTCCTGAAACTATTCCAAAAAATTCAAGAGGAAGGAAGACTTAAAAGATCTTTTTATGAAGCCAGCATTATCCTAATTCCAAAGTCTGATAAAGACACAACAAAGAAAGAAAAATATAGGCCAACATCCTTGAACATAGATGCTAAAATTCTCAATATATTATTAGCACACTGGATCCAGCAATACATTAAATAATTCATACACCATGACCAAAAGGGATTTACTCCAGTGAAGCAAGGCTGTTACAATATTGGCAAATCAATAAATGTGATAAATCATACAAACAAAGTGAAGGATAAAAATCATGTGATCAGCCCACGCCAGTGTGGCTCATTTGGTGAAGCATCTTCCCATGCACTAAAACATCACTGGTTTGAATCCCAGTCAAGTCACATACTCAGATTGCAGGTTTGGTCCCCTGGTAGGGTACGTACAAGAGGCAACCAACTGATGTTTCTCACATTGATGTTTCTCTTTATCTACTTTCCTCTCTCTATAAAATCAATAAAAATATATTTTTAAAAAATCACGTGATCATATCAAATGTAGAAAAAGCATTAACAAAATCCAGCACCCATTTTTCATTAAAAACTCTCAGCAAAGTGGGAATGAAAGGTCATACTTCAACATAATAAAGACCATATATGACAAACCTACAACCAACATCATACTCAATGGGCAAAACTAGAAGTACTTCTTTTAAGACAGGGATCCCCACTTTCACCACTCTTATTCAACATAGTACTGGAAGTCTAAGCCAGAGTGATCAAACAAGAACAGAAAATAAAAGGTACCCAAATTGAAAAGAAGGAAGTGAAACAGTCATCTGCAGATGACATGATACTGTTCATTGAAAACCCTAAATACTCCCCAAAAAAACCACTAGATTTAATAAATAAATTCAGCAAAATAGTAGGATACAAAATCAATATCCAGAAATCTATGGAATTTTTGACTGTTGTTAATTCTCACCTGAGGATATTTTTCTACTTATTTTTAGAGAGAGTGGAAGGCAAGGAAGGAGAGAAAGAAACATCAATGGGAGAGACACACATCAATGAGTGCTTCCTGCATGACCCCAACTGGGGCCTGAGATCAAACCTGCAACCCAGAATTCAGGAGTGGCTTTAGGAAGATGGCAGCAGGCAGGACCAGAGGGAGGGTGAGTGTGTGAGAGAGTGAACTAGTGTGTGAGAGAGTGTGAGTGGACGTGAAGGTGGACGACCAAACCCGAGAAGTGCAGAGATGTGGAGCAGAAGGTTCATGTGCTGTGGACAGAAGCAGTCCGCTACCATGGTAAGCGGCTCTTCAGGGTGCTTCTCCTGAAGAGCCATGGGGAGGTCCCACCATTTTGGAAGATCCCAGGTCTTCCTGGGAGGAAACAGTGGGAACGGCTAGGGCCCAGCACCTGAGCCCACCAGCACACCTGGCACCATTGGACCAGTGGATACTCTGTGTCAACACAGACCAGTGCACAGTAGTGGAGCTCCCAAGGTGCCAGTCTCAGAAACCAAAGACAACCCGGAGCTCAGCACCATCCTCCATAGCAGCAGCCCGATCAGAGTCCAGATATACTCCAAGCGACAGAGGCTGGGGAGCAGACATCCATCCCCAGGCAACAGAAGCACAGACCATGAGCTTAGACCCATCCCCAAAATCTACAGCAAAAGCTGAGCAGGAGTTGAGCCCCACAGGGCGAGAACAATCCCGAGCCACCAGTGGCAGGATCTGGGGCTCCACATAGGCCTGTGCAGTCCAGCAGCTCACAAAAGCAGTGGAAAGCTGGAGCCAGAGAAGAACTGGTGTGATCCAGCTGCCTGCCCCAGGGACGTACAGGGTGCAGGGGCACCAGAGAGGCCTCTCCTACCCAGTAGCCCACAAGAGCAGTGGGGAGCAGGAGCCCGAGAGGGGCTGGTGCGATCCAGCTGCCTGCCCATGGGACTTGCAGGTTGCGAGGGCAGCAGAGAGGCCTGTGAAACCCAGCAGGAACTGTACCATCCAGTTATCCGCAGGACCTGCGGGATGCTGAAACACCAGAGAGGCCTGTTCGACCCAGCAGGGACTGTGCGATCTAGTTACCCACAGGACCTGCAGGGTGCTGAAGCAACAGAGAGGCCTGTGCAACCCAGCAGGGACTGTGTCATCCAGTTAACCGAGGGACCCGCAGTGTGCTGAAGCACCAGAGAGGTATGTGTGACCCAGCAGCCCATAAGGTAGGCATAGAGCCAAGTCCCCAAAGGGATTGTGCGATCCAGTTACCTCGGGACCTGCAGGGTGCAGGGGAATCAGAGAGGCCTGTGCTACCCAGCTGTGCACAACATAGGCATAGAGGATGTGAAAATGGAGGCGGAGTGAATGGAAGCTACACAGAAGATCTTCCAGGACCAAACAGAAATGACAACTAAAATAAAGACGAATCCTCAGAAAAAAGTAGCAGGACAGGATCATATAACCGGGGACACTGGTAGGATCTGCAGAGGCACAAGAGGGTAGTGGGCTGGGAGCCCATAGACAGCAGCCATCTTAATTGTGAGCAGCGCCCTTGGGGAATAAAGACCAAACCCATTCCACAGTGCAGAGAGCCAGGACAGAGTACTAAAATAGCCACAGCCCATCACCTGGGGGCTACGGTAGAGGGAGGGCAGACTAGGCTAGAACTCTGTGGGGACACCCAGAATTTGGAGGGCACTCTGAGCTTTTCTTAGTTGTGGCCACAAAAAAAAAAGGGGGGGGCCAGTGTGCACTTTCCCAGAGCTGTGAGGAAAAGCAGCCGCCTCCGACACCCACCCCTGGGAGATTCAACCTTCCCCAGGTGAGACAAAGAAATGCAAATTGAGGCTCATTAACAACTAGCATCTATCCCAAACTCTGGAAATCCTCTTATGCAGAACACCAGGGCTACATTCCAAGGAACTGAGTAACTGAGACTACTAGCCTCCAGGAAAAAGCTAGAGGATAACTGAACCTTTCCTGGCCTTGCAAATCTACCCAGGAAAGTAAGACTTCACAGAGGTGTTTAATGTGGGCCCACCCAGGCTCATCCAAACTCAGGAGAGGGGACTTCCGGTCAAGATGGCGGCGTAGGGAAACACAGTATCGCGTTCTCCCACAACCACATCCAAGTTACAACAAAACTACAGAACAACCATCATCCCAAACCGCCTGAAATCAAGCTGAATGGAAGTCCTACAACTACGGAATTAAAAAAAAAAAAAGCAGCTACATCCAGACCGGTAGGAGGGGCGGCGGCGCGAGGGGTGGCGGCAGCGGCGCGGCGGCGCAACGGGCTGGTCCCACACCCAAGTGTGGCGGATAAAAATCAGGAGGCTCCCGTG